AACCCTCGCTGCCGATGCCCTCCAAGCGCACCTCCATGATGGCGAAGAGCCCCGACCGGGAGCGACATGATCTGTGTAAGTACAAGTGAGAGCTGATGCGGAACAGGCCCAAACCCTCGCTGCCCATGCCCTCCAAGCGCACCTCCATGATGGCCAAGAGCCCCGACCGGGAGCGACATGATCTGTGTAAGTACAAGTGAGAGCTGATGCGGAACAGGCCCAAACCCTCGCTGCCCATGCCCTCCAAGCGCACCTCCATGATGGCCAAGAGCCCCGACCGGGAGCGACATGATCTGTGTAAGTACAAGTGAGAGCTGATGCGGAACAGGCCCAAACCCTCGCTGCCCATGCCCTCCAAGCGCACCTCCATGATGGCCAAGAGCCCCGACCGGGAGCGACATGATCTGTGTAAGTACAAGTGAGAGCTGATGCGGAACAGGCCCAAACCCTCGCTGCCCATGCCCTCCAAGCGCACCAAGAGCCCCGACCGGGAGCGACATGATCTGTGTAAGTACAAGTGAGAGCTGGTGCAGAACAGGCCCAAACCCTCGCTGCCCATGCCCTCCAAGCGCACCTCCATGATGGCGAAGAGCCCCGACCGGGAGCGACATGATCTGTGTAAGTACAAGTGAGAGCTGATGCGGAACAGGCCCAAACCCTCGCTGCCCATGCCCTCCAAGCGCACCTCCATGATGGCGAAGAGCCCCGACCGGGAGCGACATGATCTGTGTAAGTACAAGTGAGAGCTGATGCGGAACAGGCCCAAACCCTCGCTGCCCATGCCCTCCAAGCGCACCTCCATGATGGCCAAGAGCCCCGACCGGGAGCGACATGATCTGTGTAAGTACTAGTGAGAACTGATGCGGAACAGGCCCAAACCCTCGCTGCCCATGCCCTCCAAGCGCACCAAGAGCCCCGACCGGGAGCGACATGATCTGTGTAAGTACTAGTAGATAAATACTTACTTTCAATAACTTATTAAGAACACGCGATTATATTCACACGTTTTAGTTAATTAAGCAGGTCAATCGCGATTTGCGATAGTATTGAACGCGACAGCTGATGCAACTCAGCAGAAACATCGGGATCCAGGTTATATTTGCCTCATAAAATAAGTACCTATCGTGATTTAGATAGCTCTCATGAACTTCCTTTCTGTTATCGGAAACGAACATTCTAATCGCATTCTTTAGGGTTTCACTGCTTTTAGGTACACCAAAAAGCTCGTCCAGAAAACAATGAAATCTAAGTACCCATGTATAAGTACTGGGTGAAATTTTACTAGTGACCGATAGCGAAAACTCAGAACCGGCTGGTGATAAGGAACGACCTTTTCTAAGGAAAATTGATCGAAATGTGAAATAAATTTATTGAACTCCCATAGTAGCTCAAATCTTGATACTTTGATACTACCCAATTTTAATTTTTCGTATTTCGACCCTTATCACCGGTTCCGAGTATTCGCTATCGTTCACTAGTAAAATTTCACCCTATATTGAATATTGTGTTGTTGCGCAGCGTCGTCGTCGGACGAGGACTCGTGCGCCGGCGACGCGGACCTGCCGCCGCCGCCGGAGCTGTCATCGCCGCCGGCGCGCCGCCCCGCTGCGTTGCCGCCGCGGGCCCATCCGCATCCCCCGCCGCAGCACGCGCGCGACCGCGACCGGGACCGCGACCGCGACCGGGACAAGAAACTCGCGCCCAGGGACAGGACCGAGATTGATCTCAACGAGATGACACATTTCCCAGCATGTAAGATCACTCTACATATCTACTTACATCATCACATCATCATCATCATCTTCTTCCTGTCCTTACCCCAATTTATTTGGGGTCGGCGCAACATTTCTTTTTTTTCCATTCATATCTATCAGCAGTAAAATCCTCATCTACGCCTTTATTTTTCATATCGTCTTTTATACAATCAATCCAAACTTCCTCCTTTTCTACGTCCATCCACATCATGTTCATTACTTTCTTTGTTACATGCTCTTCATCCGTCCTCATACATACAAATATCATACATATACACTTCCCATCAAAAAAATCGAAACAGCTCGGTTTTTCTTGTTTTTGGCCGAATTAAACACCAAAAAGTATTGTTTGCATTGAAAAAATTATATGACTGTGTAGCTGGCAGTTTTGTCTTTTCAGTGTGTATAAAAAAATTCAAAATTCAAAATTGTAACCCCACCTGTTTGTTCTGTAAATGAGATGAATGACTGAGACACGTTTGCAATTTTCGCCTTTTAACGATTCATTACATTTTCAACATTAAAATTTAGAGCTTGTCGTAGCTTATCTTAAAACTTTTGTTTTTTTAATTGTTTACTGTGACTTTGGATCGCCTGAAAAAAGTTAGATTTTATCTGAATCATGGGTATTTTGCCCGTAGAAGCCGCCCAAGTGGTGACATTGCCAAATTTTGGACTTGGTTTTCGTTTTGTGGCTGTATGTTTGCATTTAAGCCTGACCTCTGTTCATAAAGCTTACAAACGCTATCAGAAGACTAGTCTGTTTACGCGACGTTCAGAATCTGTCGGAAATCGGGTCAGTTCTGACCGACATGATCGAATTAATGTTACGAGTTCTTTGCAAAATCGACGCCTTAGCGCTTTTCAACTGCGGCAAAAGCTATCAAATGTACAAAAGGTGGCTGAAAGTGGCTCTAGAATCAGAAGAGGGTTAAAGGAACGTAGACTGGTACCGCAATAGCCAGGAAACGGACCCAAATCAACTGCAGACACGAAGACAAAATCTGTCATGCCGTCGGCGCTGATTCCTTCCCAAACCGTTCACGAACTGTCACCATAACTGACCTGTTTATCAATGCAGCATTGTGTAAAGCATTTTTAATCCCTTCTGTAAACCATAGCGCTTCCGTGGTTACAATTCAGCGTAATTCTACACCCAGCAGGAAAGAGGAATTTGATCCACTGGGTATACGACCAGTTTAGGTGCTCACTTGCAAAGTTAAGGCGCGCTGTTTAATTGTCTTCAGTTGATTTGGGCCCGTTTCCTGGCTATTGCGGTACCAGTCTACGTTGCTTTAACCTTCTTCTGATTGTAGAACCGCTTTCAGCCACCTTTTGTACATTTGATAGCTTTTGCCGCAGTTGAAAAGCGCTAAGGCGTCGATTTTGCAAAGAACTCGTAACATTAATTCGATCATGTCGGTCAGAACTGACCCGATTTCCGACAGATTCTGAACGTCGCGTAAACAGACTAGTCTTCTGATAGCGTTTGTAAGCTTTATGAACAGAGGTCAGGCTTAAATGCAAACATACAGCCACAAAACGAAAACCAAGTCCAAAATTTGGCAATGTCACCACATGGGCGGCTTCTACGGGCAAAATACCCATGATTCAGATAAAATCTAACTTTTTTCAGGCGATCCAAAGTCTTAGTAAACAATTAAAAAAACAAAAGTTTTAAGATAAGCTAAGACAAGCTCTAAATTTTAATGTTGAAAATGTTATGAATCGTTAAAAGGCGAAAATTGCAAACGTGTCTCAGTCATTCATCTCATTTACAATACAAACAGGTGGGGTTCCAATTTTGAATTTTGAATTTTTTTATACACACTGAAAAGACAAAACTGCCAGCTACACAGTCATATAATTTTTTCAATGCAAACAATACTTTTTGGTGTTTAATTCGGCCAAAAACAAGAAAAACCGAGCTGTTTCGATTTTTTTGATGGGAAGTGTATTACGCCGACATCTACCTATATAAGCAGAGCGTAAAGGGCTGCAACTGCAAAACGGCATTTTATTAACACCACGTCTGACAAAAGTTTGAGAGTCATTCAGAAGACCGTGTATCACCATAGTGACAAGTTTTCAGCCTGCCGCCTAAGATTGCAGTGCACATCAACCCTCAAATCCCTTAGTCGCTTCTACGACACCCTCGGGAAAGATGAGGGGTGATGCTAGTTTAATGTTCTATTTGTATTATGTAATTAATTTTCAATGTATAAAGTTACCAAAGCTTTTATTAGAAGCTTTTCCATTCGTGGCACGCATTTTGATGAATAATAAAAGTAATCCTCGCATCGGTTTGGGAAATTGTTCTGTCAGTAACAGAGCATTCGTTATCGAAACTGTAATTAAGTTAGGCGAGAACTGTTTTCGTATCCACGCGTTTGATGGGACATTTTGTGGATTCAGAAATTAAATCAATCGGCTTTCGGTACGTTAGCGATTTTAAATGTCGGTTCCATTTCACAGTCGTGTCACGGATTAGGACATTTGAATGCTCTATTCCGGAAACTATTGTGTATACTGAAATAGTTGTGCGCTTAGTTTGTGGAGGTTTGTGGATATTGCGGTACTGTGTACCCCAACTGTGTGTAACTCAAGACATGTAGTTTCGTGAAAAAGCTTATTCGTAAAAGATGATATTTGTACGCAGATATTCAGCCAGACGTGACACACACATCAGCCGGGCAGCGGCGCGGCGGGTCGCACGGCGCCGACCGCGTGCAGTGCTACGAGCGGCCCGAGGACAGCGGCACCGGCACCGCACGGTGGAAGGTAGGCAACAAGAGATGATATTCAGACGTGACACACACATCAGCCGGGCAGCGGCGCGGCGGGTCGCACGGCGCCGACCGCGTGCAGTGCTACGAGCGGCCCGAGGACAGCGGCACCGGCACCGCACGGTGGAAGGTACGCAACAAGAGATGATATTCAGACGTGACGCACACATCAGCCGGGCAGCGGCGCGGCGGGTCGCACGGCGCCGACCGCGTGCAGTGCTACGAGCGGCCCGAGGACAGCGGCACCGGCACCGCACGGTGGAAGGTAGGCAACAAGAGATGATATTCAGACGTGACACACACATCGGCCGGGCAGCGGCGCGGCGGGTCGCACGGCGCCGACCGCGTGCAGTGCTACGAGCGGCCCGAGGACAGCGGCACCGGCACCGCACGGTGGAAGGTAGGCAACATAATAGTGGCAAGAAAATATGAAAATAAGAAATTGAAAAGAAAAATTACGTGCATCGACCGGGGCTTGAACCCGGGCCGCATGGATAAACGCCCCACCGCTCTGCCACTGAACGATCGATGTACCGATAGATGCCCAACCACAGTGCCCAACAAATTTTCAGTTTATTGATGCTCAATGTTTAGACTTTGCTCGCCTACAAGCGACGATCCAGCGATATCTGTAGAAAGTAATTCGAACCCCGGTTGATGCATAGTATTATTTATTTTAATTTCTTATTTTCATTTATGAGAATAATATAGCTTTGCGAGTGCATTAAAATCCGAATAGGGTAACAAGAATTACCTTAGCATTCTACACACCTCTGACATTCTTCAGGTGTCAGCAAAGATCCAGCAACTCCTGAACACACTGAAGAGGCCGAAGCGGCGGCCGCTGCCGGAGTTCTACGAGGATGACGACATCGAGCTGGAGATCGCGGCCAACCCGAAGGACCCGAACGCGCCGAAGCCGGAGGGCGGCACCATGACGCCGGCCGTGGGCGAGCAGCTGGTGGTGCCCGCCGGCCTGCCCAGGAACCTGGAGGCGGCGCTGCAGCGGTACGGCACCGCCTCCTTCAAGGCCAACGTCGCAACCGTGCTCGACCCCAACGGAAAACTCAGCAATTCGCTCACGTATGGTAAGTATCGACTGACCGATTTTTGACTTGTTGTTTTATATTATACCGATTACGGTGTTCACTGAAACTTGGCAGGCATAATGAGACTATGTAACTGTTTTTTTTTACTAAGGAGCATATTCCATAGAAAGCCAGACAGCTGATCGTGAATTTTGTACCGGAAGTCAACATTTGTTTCTCGTGTTCCAACATAGCGTTCATAGAAAAGTTATTCAGTGTCATGGTCTGATCATGCCTGCAAAGTTTTCGCTAGGTACACCCCGTTCTGCTTCGATGAAATAACCTTTCGATAGCAAGCAGTAACTATTGTTTTTGTCATCAGGTAAACTGCTGTCGCGGTCGCTGAAGATCGCTCACGCGCTCCTGAACAAGACCTTCACCTCAAAGAGCAGTAGCGGCGGACCTCTCACTGGCGACAGCAATATCAAACCAGGTACTGCCACAACCAAACATTCTACTCGTAATATGTGTTTTTTGAAAACCTTAAAATTTTCCACTGCAGACAGGATTTGAACCTGCGACCTGCGGCAAAAATTGTATACCTAACACGGGAAGTGTTTTAAAATTTGGTATTATAACCTGTGTTATCGAACTACTAACCAATGTACCACAATATTATGGGGCGAAGGGGGTCGTCCGCTCAGACTTACTAAAAGTAGGTAAATTTACAACCCGGTTAAAAGTATGAAAATTTTATCGTTACCTACGTAATTTGTGGATAGTTTTGTAAACAAAATGTCCAACATTATTCACAGATATTGCCCTCCTTTCTGAGGGGATTATTAAAATTTTAATCAACGTTTCCCTAGTTTTAATTTACAGTGTAATTTCAGTTGAATGTCATTTAGGTATTCCCAGTATTTTCAGTTATTACTACCGCGTTATCTGAATGTCTGAAAAGCACAGGCGGTTGTTAATTATAATCAATCTGCGGGTACAATTCCACATTAATTTAATTACATTTACTTTATTCGCTTTGAACCTAACCACACAATAATAATCATATTGGAAACACAGTAGAATAAATAATAGTACTAGTAATGAATTAAATTTGTGTTTGTGTTCACATTTATTAAATATCAAATCATTTGAGCAGATAAGAGGATTATTATGCGAATTATTTTGTAAAATATTATCTAACTGTAACTTACGAAAATAATTAAGTTTTTAAGCGGTAACGTCGGTTACAGGATAAGTCGGTACAAGAAGACTTTATTAACATTTGAAACTTGTCGTCAGGCGATCGCGTGGCGCTGGTGTACCCAAACAACGACCCGATCAGCTTCATGTGCGCCTGGTACGGGTGCCTGCAGGCGGGCGTGGTGCCCGTGCCCATCGAGGTGCCCCTGACGCGGCGCGACGCAGGCCTGCAGCAGGTCGGCTTCCTGCTGGGCTCGTGCGCCGTGCAGTACGCGCTCACCTCCGACGCCTGCCTCAAGGGTGAGTGTGCTCCTGCAGCTGTATGCGCGCCTGGTACATCGCGGGCCTGCAGCAGATCGGCTTGTGAAGTATTTTTTGATAAAATCAGTACAATATTCATTTTTGATCTGTCGTACTTATTTGAACTAATTAAGAAGCCACAGGAGTAACGCCATCAGATCGCACGCGCTATATAAGTAAAAAGACAAAATTTTAAGACCCCACCGAAAAAATTGAAGTTCTAAATTAAAGAAAGTACTTATCTTAGCCGGTATGGTCTCTTTTAAGAAATTAAAGCACAGTTTAAAACTGCAATTCAAATAAGTTTCATTTCCGATACGAGTATTTTTAGTAATGATAGCATGCAATTACCTACATTTACCATGGCAATAAACATTAGATAAAATACGTAGAATAATAATTATACTAGAAATTGGATTAGCGTAAAGCTTGTTTACGATTTCGCTGGAGCCAATATTAGCTGGAACTGTCTCGATCACGTTTTGATCGCGTCTAAACAGCTCAGTGCCTCCTACACGGATTATCAGCCACCCACTTACCCCGTCCCACCCCCGCTTGACAGACTCCCGGGAATCGACGGCTGCCTCTCGAGAAATAGTTTCATGAACATTAATTCGAAAATCCGTGTACTGGATAGAAAATATCGAGTTACTTGATAGTTAAATCTTAATGGCCTTATCACAAAAAGTTAGACAAGTGTTGAACGTGTGTTTAAAATAAAACTTCATACAAATATACACGTTCGACGCTCGTCTAAATTTTTTGTGGTGAGGCCCTAAAAGGGTAGGCAATATTTTGCTGTTACCCTTTATCAGCCTGATGTATGCAGGCCTAGTTACCACTCTGAAATGACTCTGGTAACATTTAGGGTAGCCGTTCATAGACTCGTACTCACGAGACGTTACTCGTAAAATTACATACGAGTAGGGTTAATACAAAACAATGCTCTTTTCTCGTTAGACAAATTAAGCTACATAAAATAACACAAGAGTAAATTGTTTATCTAATTTAAAATAGACGAAAGAACTAAAGCAACGCTGGCAAACCAACATTTCAACAATCAGGAAATTGAAATATAAGACGTACTTAGAATTAGTTCGGATGTAAGTAATAAAGAGTCGCGTAATCAACGAGTTGTTTGTGTCGCCTGCTCGCTGCATGTTTGTAAATTAAATACGAGGCGAAGACGACGCGGCGGTATTAAAGCACAGATCACAGAGCAAGGATGTCATCCTCGTGGGCGCCACTACTAGACACGTCTTTTTAAACAAATTGAAAGCAAAATATATCATACGGAAGGCCAAAAAGTACATTGAAGGGTAAAAAGTATGCAAGCGGCAATACTGGAATGAGCTACTGTATGTAGCTCGACGGATTGACACGCGTGCAGTATTTTCTTCCTTTCACCTCTACTAGGGGCGCGCGTGAAGACGAGATCCTTGCTCTGTTACACAGGAGCTGTGATGCGCTCTTCATTGCGAACTCGTTCAACCATAATTTTATCTCCTCTCAAACGAGAAATTGCATCTAGATTACTTCGTTTGAATAGCCAGTAATATGATATTACTATTTTTCAATAACTCGGTTGCAATTTCTCTCAGCGAGGTATCCAACAGTAAATTGATTCTGTCAATTCATTCGCGTAATTCCAAAGGGTTCAATCGAAGTTATAAAGGCTCTTTGATCTTGGATAATATGACAAGATAACTTATTGAATTTCTCGGAATAATCCTAGACGGCAAACAACTTAAAATTATATTTATTAACTAGGATTCCATGAAACGATGCGCCATAAACAAACCTATCAAGAAAATCGTATAAAAGTTACCTAGACTGGAGAATAGATGAATGTCTACCCCGGATGGAAATCGTAGCCATACTAGATGACAATCGTCATACAGCCATGTCAGTTTAGAGGCGGGTAGAAGCTGCCAATAGGGTTCATAAGTCGACTTTTCTGTGTTATGAAATGACTAAGACGCAGGCTCAGAGTCGTCGTGAGATCAAACACATGTGATCGTCGGACAAGTGAGATTTGCGACATCGCGATGCTTGAAACCATTACCGTATAAAAAGTTTGATACAGAAGAGAAAAACTACACACGTCAGACGTACGTCCCGTCGATAATTGCTTACGATCGCTTGCCTTGCGCGTCTGTTATGTGGAGCTTGCCCCTTATGAATGAACGTCCCCGCAGGTCTGCCGAAAACGTCATCAGGCGACGTGGTGTCTTTCCGCGGGTGGCCGTCGCTGCAGTGGGTGTCGACGGAGAAGCTGCCCCGCCCCCCGCGCGACTGGATACCCCCGCCGCGCCCCGCAGACGACAGCCCCGCGCACATCGAGCACACCTCCGCCGCCGACGGATCCGCCATGGGCGTCATCATCACCAGGTAACCAAACTACAAGCTTTTAATACAATCGCCCCATATCTTTCCCGTGGGTGTCGAAAGAAGCAATTAAGGGATTAGAGGGTAGATAAATATTGCAATTTCAGGCGACAGGCTGACAACACGGTGTTCTGAATTTGATGTAAATTACCCTTTTACAGCCGTGTGTGCTTTGACGACTACCCCGCAAGGGATATATGTATGTATGAATTCGGAGAGGAATACACAAAGTGTGACATTCCATTCACCGAACACCATTTCATTATACACCATAAATGCTTACATATTTTATCGTAATCATTTTTATTTTTCACGTAGAAATATTTTCTTCTTAGTATTTCAAAGGATCATAATTCACTGTAAATTCTAGGAAAGTTGTAATCTTGTTTGCAAGAAGCTTTTCTTATTACTTTTAATTGGCTGATTCCACTTCAATAATGATGTGATTTTCCCGTAAGTTGTCTATCTCAGAACAGATTTTCCATTTCAGAAAATAAACTACAATTATTTTCATTTTGTTACGCTACTGCAGCACAGCGTCGCAATTTCTGTTTATGTTTGATTTACACTCGCCAGGAACACACTCGGTTTAGCTGTTCAAATAAGTCAATATTTG